AGCAGTGCTTATATTGATTTTCTGACATCTTGTTTTCTGTAAAGATTTTATGGTAGGTTTGCAAATGTGTATCAGACTGTGCAATCTCTCCATGAGTTGGTTTTGAAACCCAGTATGAGATTCTGAGATACATTACCAAGGATATTATTACAAGATAAATCATTTGCTTCATTGAACACATACAACAATGCATATTTCCACTGAGATCAGTGACCTTTGATGTGTATCACCAGTGACATCTGTTGTTCAAACTCAGGGAAGACTTCATACTGATGAATAAGGTGACCAAGTTTGATAAAGTTTGGAATAGAATTAGTAAAGTTATTATGCACACAATAACAATTATTAACAACGACGACAACGATGACGACGACAACAACGACAACGCCGGACAAAGTTTTTCCCTTAATATACCTTTCCCTTCCATCTTTGATGGTACGGGCAAGGTAAAAACAGGATGGCTGCCAGTCCGCCATTTTGAATCGAATTGCTGAACCACTGCATGTGCATATGTCCCACATAAGGTACTAGGCACATGCAAAGAATGAACGGAATCGGTCTACAGGAATCTGAAATACGACTCTGGACAGACTGAGGGATGGACGGACACATGGACAGATGGACAGACTCAGGAACTCACGGATAGTCGGGACATGTATCCTAACATGTATGATCTATGTACTAAATTTGAATGAAAACTGACAAAGCATGTCTAAAATACAACATTTTTAAATTTGGCTGCCAGTCGGCCATCTTTGATCCAATTGTGAAATAAATCGTCATGAACATGTATATTAACATGTTTAATCTATGTACCAAGTTTGAATGAAAACTGATTAAGCATGTCCAAAATACAACATTTTCAAAAAATAAGATGGCTGCCAGTCGGCCATTTTGAATCGAATCGGTAAACCACTGCATGTGCATATGTCCCACATAAAGTACTAGGCACATGCAAAAAATGAATGGAATCGGTCAAATGGATTCTGAGATACGATTCCGAACGGACGCACAGACGGACAGAGACCGAATTATAAATCCCCGTTTTCGGACTTTGTCCGAATAGGGACTAATAAGCATGTCAGGAATATGATTATGATGATTGTTTAACATTAAAATGATCGACATTTGTATCTGATCGTCAAACGAGTACTGTGAGATATTGCTCTGGAACAGCATTAGTTAAAACAAAATCAGCCATTTTGAATACATGTATAATGAATATATAAAATTTGAACATAATCAGTCAAGGCATGTCAGAAATATGGCTCTAGAAGCCCATTCATCAAAACAAAATGGCCGCATCAAGGTCCTATAATGTCCAACATATATACAAGGTTTGAACAAAATCCATCTGTAAACAGCTGAGAAATGCTTGATTTTGATGAGTTTTTAGCACAAAAATGGCCACCATTCGGCCATCTTGAATCAGATATTGAAACTACCGGTAATTGATGTGCATATGTATAATATCAAGTATGATGTATGCGTGAAGTTTGATTGTGATTGGTCCAGGCATTTCTAAGATACAGGTTCGGACTGCTGGGACTAACAAATGTGCGCATCCATAGAAGTTAGATGTTCTTCTAGTCTAATGTCTACAATTTTTTTTTGAAAATGACAACTGCCACCTTCATAAGATATTGTTTAGAAATATAACACAAGATCCATATTACATTATAAGTTAACCTTTTATTTTCAATGAATGCTCTACATTGTGTACAATAAAAAATATACAACAAAGTTTCGAAACTGTTTAAAATCACCAACTGTACAGCAATCATAACCAATGACACTCCCCTTTCAGTTTGTAGTGACTGCGTAATTTATAAACAATTCAACATTCAATGTTGGGGGGAGTGTTCAGCATGTTAAAAATAATGTTCACTTCAGTTTTGTTTCGTCAAAGTAACACCTCGTAGAAAAAGATAATTTTCAGATCATACAAAATTGTATACCCGATAACCCAACCAGTTGAGAATTTTCAATCCAAGAAAACAGCATTTGTATTGTTCATACTAAAATCAGTTAAAGCATGTCTGTGAACTGGTTAAGAACACCAAATATGAATCAGACATGGCTTCTAGTTTACCAGTTTGAATTAAATCAGAAAAAAAACTTGTGTGCATCAGTAACTAGACTTGTTTTACAAAAAGAAATATTTAATTTAAAACTAATCTGACCGCTAAAGAAATCCCGACTGGACGCATCTACAGGCATTTGACTGCTATTAATTATTCATGAAAGGTTGCTTCCATTGGATTGCAGAGATAGATACTTTAACTTTCTAAGTGCAAAGGTGATACTTTCATCCATGTTTACTGAAAACAAGTCGATTTAAATGTCCAATGTATATAAGTAGTCTTTCAAAATCGCAGGGACCTCAGAAGTGAAAGGTCACGTACGTTAACATAGATAAGATATAACGTATCCACTCTGATTTGTTGCCAATGCTAGTCAACAACTTTTATTTAGCATAATCATCAGAGTGATTTCGCTCTGGTTTTCACTCCATCGCAGGGGGTCGCCTGCAGATGCGTCCAGTCGGGATTTCTTTCACAGTCACGCTAGTTTTCGCAATCACATTAAAAAGGCTAAATTGAGAATTAATTATATTTTTATTTGTAAAACAAAAAAGAAGTCCCGACTTTGCCAGTCTAATCAGTAACATATCATGTATGATATTGACCTGATACAATGTATGTCTTTTTTTTTTGGTATTTTGGGGAAAACATTACCCACCAGCAGTCAGTCAAAGGTCGCCAAAACAAAAAATAAATCATTACAAATTGAGTTGCATGATTGAGCTACTAGTGAGTTTGACTGAATCAGTTCACACATGCATGAGAAACTGTTAATAAAATGGTAACCAAAACAAACTAATGCGCATCAGTAACCTATTATGAGTAATGCTCATACCAAGTGTGAATAAAATTAACTGAAGAAAACATTTAACATTGTACCAAATTACATAACAAATTTAATGGACAGAACACTGGTTGCCAGTTAGCCATTTTGAATCAAATTATGAAACAAATGATCGCTGTTAGCAATGCACATTTCAATTAAAGAACAGAAGATATCATTAGAAAATGAACAATATGTATAGTATCAAAGCAATGGGACTTTCAACAAGAATTCAACAATATCACTTTTCACCAAAAATGACTAAAATAATCATCAAAATTAGATAATTGAAGATATCATCATGAAATGAACAAATCTGAGAGAGGTCCACATGTAGTACCTATATATGTAATATCAAAGCAATTGGACTTGCGATTTTCAATAAGAAGTTGAAAATATCGCTTTTTACCAAAAATGACAAAAATAATCACCAAAATTTGGGAATTAAAGATATCATTACAAAATGAACAAATCTGAGAGAGGTCCACATGTAGTACCTATATATGTAATATCAAAGCAATTGGACTTGCGATTTTCAATAAGAAGTTGAAAATATCGCTTTTTACCAAAAATGACAAAAATATTCACCAAAATTTGGGAATTAAAGATATCATTACAAAATGAACAAATCTGAGAGAGGTCCACATGTAGTACCTATATATGTAATATCAAAGCAATTGGACTTGTGGTTTTTAACAAGAAGTCGAAAATATCACTTTTTACCAAAAATGACAAAAATATTCACAAAAATTAAGAGAATTAAAGATATCATTACAAAATGAACAAATCTGAGACAGGTCCACATGTTGTACCTATATATGTAATATCAAAGCAATTGGACTTGCGGTTTTTAACAATACCGGTAAGTTGAAAATATCACTTTTTACCAAAAATGACAAAAATATTCACCCAAAATAAAAAATTTGAGATTTTGACATGAAATTAACAAATCTGAGAAAGAACCATCCAAGGTACTTGTATATCAAATTTAAAAACATTCTGACTTGCGGTTTCGAAGAAGAAGTTGAAATTGTAAAGTTGACGATGACGGACGACGATGACGACAATGGACAATCATTAATATGAACAGTTACGCTGTGTCGACTTTGACGACAGCAGAGCTAAACAAAAATAAAAATTACTGCAGGAATTAATGTACATCACACAAATTTGATTTGAATTTGAATTGATTATGTTTAACCATATTAATAATTTTAAATCTGAACACTAAAATTGTGGAAATAGCAAAAAATATTACCAATTAAAATTATCATATGCTTATTTTCACCCATATCATGCAAGACAAAAAGATAATATAAAGTTTGATAAAGCGATTATTAAAATCACAAATTTGGAAGTTTTTGTAACCATGAAAATTATAATGACAACAGAACACACATTTTCCCTGTATATTCCTTGATTCATGATTCTGTCAAAGCCTGGTTATTTTTTTGCATTTGGTCTATGACAAAAAAAAACACACATTAAAACTGCTGCTGCTACTAAATTTATTTTGACAAGCAACACCATGGGGAGGGGGGTTCATCAATTCTTCCTACCAAGGTTTAAGATACATGTACTATAGTTTGTGATTACAAATAAATAACACAATATAATAAATAAATAAAAGATACAAATAAATTAGAGTGATAACATCTTAAACCACCTTGATATCACCTGTACAATATGGGCAGCAATTTATTGTTAAGTTTTCATAGTTTGTAAGTGGATGAAATCTGTTAATCTTCATGGCTTGACGTTTAGGAGAATTAGTTGACTGGAAATCTTCAGTACAAGCAGGATGAATCTTTTTATTAAGTAGTATCTAGGAAGAAACAATTAGTGATGTTAATACAATATCCAATGTGATTGTGATTAACAGTTATTATTTTAGTTTACAAAGTGAAGTTTTCAATAAAGGGGGTAAACAAAATGGCAGATATAGACTTTTACAAACTGCATTAGACTAATGGTTAGTAACATTGTTTAAAATTACTGCCCGCCCGTATGTCCAGCACGGGTAACTATTTAATCGGGCTGCTGAAAATTTCAAGTTACTAGCCCTGTGGTCAGGTAGATTTTTCGAGAAAATAAATAAAAAATAAGCCAATGGCCTGTTGCTCAACGGCTATTGTACAAAAGATTAGTGCTGTATATGACAAATACCCCAAAAGGCAGTGAGCGAGACAATAAAACATAATGCTAAAAGTGGAATTTTTTTTACAAAAATAACAGAAATATTCAATAAAATTAGAATCAAAGAGAGCTTAAAAAGAACTCCAGCGTGTTGAGAGAATAACAAAACATGATAGCTTGAATTTCACTAGCTTATATGCAAATTAGATAATTTGCATAAATTTCCACTAATATTCTTGGTATGCAATAAATATTTGCCAAAATTAGAGAATTAAAGATATGGCCATGGGATGAACAAATCTAGTAGATGTCAACACAAGGTACGTATGTACACACCAAGTATCAAAGCATTCAGGTTACCAGTTTTGAAGAAGTCAAAAATATAATTTTTTACCAAAAATGACCATTTTAAAATATTCACCAAAATTAGGAAATTGAAAATTTCCTGACCAAATTAACCCAAGGCACATGCACTATCAATATCAGCACTGTAGACCACTTAGTGTCATAGTAGCATAGAAGAAATTTTAGAGTTTTGGGGGGCTAATTTGTATAATTTTTGGCAGATCGACTTCTTATGAACAAATTACCATCTACACTCATCAAGGCATCCACACACTAAAAATCGAGTCAAACAGTTCGGCGGTTTTTGAGAAGAAGTCGTGCACAGACACATAGATAGATAGACGGAGGACAG